AATTTATAGGACTTTATCGTTAAATTATTAAAGTTTAAAAAACTATTTACGAATATATAGTACGATAGTATTTTAATTATAGTTAACTAACTTACTAAGTTTGCCTATTTTGTACTTTATAAAGAAACTAATAGTATAGAAGAGTTAGTATATACGTTCTTTAAAATCGTTATTATTAACTATAGTATACTAAAAGAAATAGTATTTAATAAAGGCTCTCTATTTATTTTAAAGTTTTAGAGATCCTTAATTTCGTAATTTAATATAGATTATAAACTATTAACTTCTTTTTACCTATAAACCGATAATTAAATAAAAAGAATTAACTAAATTCTTAAAATATACCTCCGTTATTATATAAACTACAATTAAAATAACTAAGTAGTATTATTATTAATAGCCTAATTCGTATATAATAATATAGTTAATAAAAGTATAAAAGAATCCCCGTTTTATTTTAATTACGGATTTTAGTTAATAGTATATAGAGAAGTATAATAAAGACTATAAGCTATAAAAGCTATAATAAACGTTATAAAACTTGGAGAACTTTAAGAAAAAGTATTTTTAAACTTTAAATTTATATATTAATATATAAAAAGAAACGCGAATAGATTTAGAATTAAAAGACTAACTTTAAAAAAGGGGGATAGCGCCTATTTCCTTTATTATAATATTAGAATAAAACGACTAAATAATAAATTAAATTATAAAAAACTTAGACCTTTTAAAATTATTAAAAGAATCTTACCCGTTAATTATAAATTAAAACTCTTAAATATAATAAAGTATTATTTAGTCTTTTATATTTTACTTTCTAAACTAATATTTAAAAGTTTATATATAGAAAATTGTATTATTATAAAACTAAACGAACTAGAATATAAAGTCGAAAGGATTATCGACTATAGAATTAAAAATAAAATATAAGAATTCTTAATTAAATAAAAGAATTATAGATATAAGGAAAATATATAGGAACCTATTATAAACTTCTAAAACTCCCGATAGCTCTTTAAAGAATATTAAAATTAAAATTAAACCCCGAACTCCTAGTTATTACGGCGTCTTAATTAATTATATTAAAAGTACTATTAGTTTATACTTTGCGGGCCGCTAAAGAAGTATTTTTAATATTTTTAAAGAATTCCTTTAATATAATACGACTTTTTTTAAAAACTATCCTTTTTTATAAATAAAGACGTTTTAATTTAAATAACAATTTATTTAATTTAGTTTAAGTTTTTTAATAAACTTTAGCTTTTTTTTATAACTCCGTAGCTCTTTTTTAAAATTATAACTCCTCTATTTCCTTTTTATAATTAAAACGATCGGATTTTAGTATTAAATAATTAACTATATTAGTTAACTAAATTTAATAAATAAATATTACTATATTTACGAATATAAATAGTATTAATAAAAGTATTATAAGAAATACCTAGGTAATAGTACGTTTTATAAATATTAAAATTAAAAAGAACTAGGTACTGAACGCTTTATAAGTAATAATTTAAATAAAATATAATTTCTATACTCTCGTTAAAAAAATAAATAATATATAATAGTTTACGACGAGACGTAGCTATTTAAGATTTTAATTTTTTAATTCGATTTAATATTATATTAGTATATTTTAAATGAAAATATTTAATGACTCCCTAACCTAAGAATAGACGATTTATTTATAGGCCTAGGGGACTAGATTTTTAAAAAGAGAAGCTAATATTATAATTTAATATATATAATAAAGCTAGGGCCTGCCCTATAGAACTTATAACGACTACTGTACTATATATATAGAGATAACGGACTTAGGACGACCCCTTTTAAAATAGAAGAACTATAAATAAATTATATAACTACGATTATATAATAAAATAAAGAACGAATATCTATAAATAAATAGGATATATAATTGTAAATAAATAGGATAGACGACCGTTTAATAAATAAAGATATTATAAAAGATATATTTAAAAACGAGATTTATATAAAGTATAGATTTAAACCGGGTTTAAAAATAAACTTTTTATAGCTTTTTTAATAATTAATTTAGTATTAGATTTTATAATCGTTTTTAGCTATTTTTATTAAAAACCCCTTTTAATAAAACTATAATTAATTACCGAAGCCTTATTTATTTTACGATTTATAAATATAGCTTTAGAAAAGCTATTTATAATTACGATACTATTTACTTAGCCTTTATAGCCTTAACTTTTATTAATATATTTACTACGACTAGCTGGCTGTAATACTTTTACTTTTTTTAAGCTCTAAATTATATTATTAAATCTATATTTATTTATATTACTTTATTATATTAATAAAGTATTAATAAAAGCAATATTTATTATAATATATTTATTTATTTTTTATAAATTAATATTATAAATATAGTATTTATTAAAATAATATCTCTATATATCTAAGTAAAAGTATAATATTTATATATTATAGGTTTTCGTATTTATCTACGTACTATCTTTTTTACTTATTTAATTACACGTGCGCTTATATAATATTTATAGATTTCTAAATAAGCGGGTCCTAGGTTAACCCTTTATATATTATCTTTTTCTTATTATATAATTACTTTATACTTATATTTAAGTAATAGTATTTAAATTAATTAGTTCGGCCCTATTTAATAAACTAATTATAATAAGTTATTATATTATTAATTTAGTTATATAAGTACTAGTTATATAACCTCCTGCGTATTATATAATTCCGGTATATAATATAGAATTTATTATATATATATATAAAGTAATAAATTAATATTATTTTAATTAGCTATATATAGCTACTCCTATTAAAGGGTCACGAGGTACGTTTTTTTAACGTTACGTAGTTACTAATTACGTAAGCTAAAAAAACGTTAACTATAGGTAAATTTAAACTACCTTCCTTTAGATCGCACTAAAAATTAAATAAGCGCTTAGACTCCCTAGGCTTCTATTACTAAGCTACGTAGTTAATATAATATTTATAAAATCGAACTTCTAGCTATCGAGGAAGCCCTAGGAGTTAATAAGTTATTAACGTCTCGATATTTTAATATATATTTAAATAAATAAATAATTTAATAATAATAGCGATAGATAATAAGGAAAGCGTTTTTAATTTTCATAAGAGAAACGAGGTAATAAATATATTTATACATATATATACGGGTTAAAGTTAAAAATATAAAGTAGTATTATTCTTAACGACGGTAATAAGGGCATTTCCGATACTACTATTATATACTATTATTATTTAAAAAGGTTATAAACTTAGCTAAGTAGGTATAGGTTTATAAAATAGTAACGTAATGTACCTAATATTACTATTAATTAATTTATAATTATAAACTTTATAAAAAAGAAAGTTAAAAAGATAAAAGGAAATTAAAAAAGAAAAGAAATAGTTTATTGAAATAGTAAGAGTATTTATTAATACTATATATAAATACTATATAAATAATATTAAGAATCGCTCGAGTAGCTAGTAAAAGCAGAACATTAAAATAAATTTTATACGTTTCTTTATTTAAAATATAACGATATATTAAATATATAATTACGGACTACTATAGAGGTCTTACGAAGTTTAATAAATTATTGATAAAAGCGTTTTAGTTAATAAAAAGTTTATAATAAATATAGTAAGCTAATAAATATAGGGGCTAGCTATAGTTATAATCTTTTACTTTAATTCTAAACGTTTACTTTCCTTTATTTTAAATATAAATAGTAGTTATACTTTATTAAAAGTAAGTAACTATTTATATTTCTAATTAATAGAGGCTAATAATATAGGTCTAATAGATAGTATCGCGGTTATATTATAAAGTATAATATATAGCTTTATTAATAACGTAATTAAATTTATTTTAATAGATAATTATATAGTCGTAGTTATAGATAAATAACTAGAGGTTAGTTATAAAGTTAGTAATATAAGCCTAAGGAGTCTAAGCGCTTACTTAATTTTTTAGTACCATCTAAAGGAAAGCGGTTTGAATTTATTTATAATTAACGTTTTTTTAATTTATATAATTAATAACTACCCCTTTGGGGTCCAGCCCGCCTCATTAGGGGCTATCTTCGCCTTTACGGGTAAGTTAGTTTATTAAAATAAATATCGTATATTACTACGTAATAAACTTTAAAACTAATTATAGCCGGATATAACTATTAATATTAACTAAACTTAAAATATTAATAACTCCGCTATAATATATTAATCGCTTTTTAAATAGCTAAAAACTACCCCTTACTTTCTCCTTTTATTTTATTTAATAATAACCTCTTTTTAATACTTTTATTTAATACGCTTACTTACGCTCTTTCTAAGCTCCTAATTATATTATTAAATCTAGATTTATTTATACTATTCTATTATATTAATAAGGCGCTAATAACAGTAATATTTGTTATAATATATTTATTTATTTTCTATAAATTAATATTATAACTATAGTAGTTATTGAGGTAATGTCTTTATATATCTAGGTCGTTTAGTATAATATTTACAGGATCGAATTCCTAGCTATCGAGGAAGCCCTAAAGGTCGATAAGTTATTAATCTCTCGGTATTTCGACGTATATTTAAATAAATAAACGATTTAATAGCGATAATAATAATAATAGTACGATAATAATAAATAATAAAAGAAGCGTTTTTCGATTTTAAGAAAAAAAAGAGGTAACGAATATATATATATATATATAAATTAAAATTAAAAGTATACTAAATATTAATAATAAGGACTTATAAAGGGCGGCGTTATCTTAATAACGGTAACGAGGGTATCTCCGATACTATTATTATAAACTATTATTATTTAAAAGGCTATAAACTTAGCTAAGTAGGCGGCTTATAAAGTAATAGCGTTATATACCCTAATATTACCGTCGATTAATTTATAATTAAAAGAAGGGAAAGTTAAAAAGGTAAAAGGAAATCTAAAAAAATAGTTTATTAAGATAGTAGGAGTATTTATTAATACTATGTTTTTATATTATATTAACGATATTAAGAATCGCCCGAGTAGTACGCAAAGGCAGAATATTAAAACAAATAATTAATAACTACGTAACGTTAAGATATATACCCTATACCCCCTCGGTAGGGGGTAGCTATATACGTTAATTAAAATAATATTAATTTATTACTTTAAGTATAACGTATATAATAAGGGAGTGGGCTAGATAAGCGAGTAGGCTACCTAACTACGACTATATAATATAAAAATATAAATATTAATAACCGCCTTATATATTTAATCTAAACTATTTAGAGTCCTCTTTTTTAAATATTTTTTTATTAAATTAATATATTTATGTATTATAACTAATATTTTTATAGACGCTATATCGTTATTAGCCCGTTTTAGTCCTTAATTAATAATTACTATTCCGGCGCGTTTTTTTTTTTACCTAGGTTATAGCCTCTCTCTATAATTAAAAGTCCTTTTTTTAGCTATAATAAAACTTTTTTTTTATTAGAGACGGTTTTTTTTTAGCTCTCTAGCGTTAATTAAGTAAGTTATTCTCTTTTTAAAAGATCTAGTTTTTGGATTTTAATAAAGCGATTTAGTATAAAAACTTATAAGCCCTTTTAAATAAATACTTTATAGTTTTAATAATTAAAGTTAAAGAGCTATTTTAATAACGGGTAATTCTATTTTTAATAAATTATAATTATAAAGATACCTTAATTAGGTTATTAAGTATTTAAAAAGTTTATACCGGGGGTATTATTAAAAAGGATTTTAAAAGCGTCGGAGTACGTAACTTTACGTTAAGCTTTAAAAATATATATTTTATATTTAAAAGTATAAGCCCTGCCCCTCTAAATCTTTTTTAAATTTTTTTTTATAATCGCTTATATAAAAGCCCTATAAAACGCTAAAAAAAAGTCCTTTTTAATAATAT